CTGCAAAGTTTCTGCTGAAAAATCAGCTGATGGTCTCATGGGGTTTCTCTTGTATGTAACTGTTTTCTCTTGATGCTTTTAAAATCCTCCATCACTACTTTTTGCCATTTTAATTACTCAGTGTCTTGGTGTGGGCCTCCTTGAGTTGATTTTATGGGGCGATTTCTGTGCCTCTAGATCTGGATATCTGTTTTCTTCCCCAGCTTCAGGAAGTTTTCAGGTATCATGTCTTGAAATAAATTTTCTGCCCTTTCTCTCTTTTCTTTCTGGGATCCTTATAACGCCAATGTTATTACACTTGATGGAGTCGCTGAGTTCCCTAAATCTGTTTTCATTTTGCATAATTTTTTTCTCTCACCTGCTCAGCTTGATTACTTTCCATTACTCTGTCCTCATCCATTCTTCTGCTTCTTCTAGTCTGCTATTTATTCCCCCTAGTGCCTTTTTAGTTTCATTTATTGTGTTCTTCATTTCTGGTTGGTTCTCTTTTTATGTTTTCTGTCTCTTTGTTCAGGGTCTCACTGATGTCCTCCACTCTTTTCTCAAGTCCAGTGAGTATCTTTATGACTGTTACTTTAAGTCCTCTATCAGGCATATTACTTATTTCTCTTTTGTTTCGGCCTCTTGCTGTGATTTTGTCCTGTCCTTTCATCTGGGACATATCCCTCTGTCTCCTCATTTTGTCTAACTCTGGGTCGGGTTTTGTGTGTTAGGAAAGTCAGCTACATCCTCTGCTCTTGAAAGCAGAGGCCTCATGAGGAAGAGATCCTGTAGTGCAGTGTCCCCTGTTCACCAGAACCTGGTGCTTCACACATATCTCACATGTGCATCGTGTGCACCTGACTGTTGTGGCCGCCTTTGCCATCCGTCCAGTGGTCTGCAGGGGCTCTCTTTGTCTGCTGTGGGCAGAGTTTGGTCCCTGTGCCGTTAGTGAGCCAGTCTGGGGCCACGCCGGGCTTGAGTTGAGTCAGATCAGGGATTTGCCAGAGCCGTGGAAGCACCGAACCGCAGGGCCCTTTCCCTGCGTTTTCCTGAGAAGCTTTTGTGGATGCGCACGGCCTCCGGCAAGACCAGCTGTCTGCCCCCAGCCCACTGCTGGCGCCGCAGTCAGACTAGTGTGGTTGTCTTCCCATCTCTCTGGGGCAGGAGTCACTTTGGAGTAGTGCCGGCCTCTGTGGGGGCTGCTTATACACTGCCAGGCTGTGGCCTGGGTTGGATGGGCTCTGGCCCAGAGCATATTAGAGGGGACGGGTCTGCAACGTGCACAGGGGCAGGGCGTCCAGTTTTAGCAAGGTTTGTGAGCTGTCCTCTTGTGAGAGGGGACCTCCTGATACTATGTCCAGGACCCGCCACGGGGGCGGAGGAGGTGGATCTGTAAAGTGCGGGGTGCGTGGTGTCTGCAAGGTTTGTGCCCGCCTTCTGGGGGAGGAGTCCTGTCTTGCTGGGACCGAGGCAGGTCTGGCTGCAGGGGCAGATCTGCTGGAGCGCCATGGGATGAGGCTCAGTGTAAGTCAGGCGGTGAGTGTTGGTGTCGCGCTGGCCCCCACGAGGGGCTGCGTGTTGATGCTGGGGGGTAGAGCGTGGAAATGGCACCTGCCAAGTCCTCTGTTCCTGGAGGAGTCCCTCAGTGATGTCTGTCCCTCCAGATTAGTAAATGACTCTCCCTCCATATGCCCTGGGCATTTTTCAGACTCCTGCTTCTGTCTGTATCTCCATGCCTATGTGTTGTGCTGTCTCTTTAAGGGTGGGACTCCACTTCCTGTGGCCCTTGGGTTCTCCCAGACCTGAGCCTGCTGAGTTTTAAAGTTCTAATTTTTTTTTTATTTTGTTTTTTTTTTTGAGAGAGAGAGAGAATGTGCGTGAAGCAGGGAGGGGCAGAGGGGAGAGAGAGGGAATCTTAAGCAGGCTCCATGCTTAGCACAGAGCCTTACATAGGACTCCGTCTCATGACTGAGATCACAACCTGAGCCGAAATCAGGAGTTGGATGCTTAACTGACTGAGCCACCCCGGCACTCCTAAAGTTCCATGCTTTAAGTCCCACTACTTTTAAGAACTCTCAAAATTTGGCCCCTTTGGTTTTCCAAGCCAAATGTTAGGGTGATTGATCTTCCCCGGGCAGGCTCCCTGGCGTGAGGGTCTGTTTCTGTCCCTTCTCCGCTTCCTTGGTGTCCCCCTTTCCCATGGACGGTCCTGTGGTCCATCTAGCTCCCACCGTGTCTCCGCCCTTCCCACCCTCTTCCACGGGTGTCTTCTCTTCATTTAGTTTGGTTTGTTCTGCCTGTCTTCTGGTTGTTTTCTGGGTTGTTTGCTCCCATGTGTTTTCTAGTTGCATCCATGAGATGAGGTGAGCTTAGCGGCCTCCTACAACTCTCTCAGCTTTCATTTCAGTGCTCCAGCCATGAACCAGCCCGCTCGCATGGCTGGAGCTTTTATTGATATTCGTGATCTTTCAGAGGCTGTGGACTGGATTTTGGACAAGGGAACTCCTCCAGCAGTCTGCATTTTATCGTGTTTTATTTTAATTTTTTAAATGTTTATTTTTGAGAGAGCGTGCGCAAGCAGGGAGGGGCAGAGAGAGAGGGAGGCAGAGAAACTAAAGTAGGCTGCGTGCAGTCAGTGCAAAGCCTGACACAGGGCTCAAACTCTCGAACCGTGAGATCATCACCTGAGTTGAAGTCAGATGCTCAACCGACTGAGCCACCCAGGTGCCCCAGCAGTCTGTATTTTAAAAGGTTCCCCCCCACCCCCACCCCACTTTGCTTTTTTCAGTCTCTGTGGGCAATGCTTTGGTCATGTCCTGGGGTGTTTATATTTCAAAGACTAAGATTTACTAAGAATTGCTAAGATTTACAAATTCAAGGGACAAAGCATGCAAGTTTTCTTCAAGGAGTTTGGGGTAATTGCTATTTAGATTTTTCCTTTGTGGGGCGCTGGGTGGCTCATTTGGTTGAGTGTCTGACTCTTGATCTCGATTCAGGTCATGATCTCCCGGTTCATGGATTGAGCCCTGCGTCGGGCTCTGCGCTGACAGCGTGGAGCCTGCCTGGGATTCTCTCTCTTTCTCTCTTTCCGCCCCTCCCCAGCTCACACGCTCATGCTCTCTCAAAATAAATAAACTTAAAAAAAGTAAAAAGTCAAGGAAATTTTTCCTTTGTGTCAGGGTCAGAAGACATGGGGCATCTTGTCTGTTTCCTCCTCAGTTACCTCCTCGTCCTCCTCGCCTTCTCAGAGACTCCACCTCTTAGCATCTGAATCAGGCTTTGTCACAAGCACCCAGATGTCAAGCAGAGGCATCTTGCGCCCTCGTAGCTTTATAAGGTCTTTACCCCGCACTCCAGCCCAGCGGGCAGCAGAATAGCCTTACCTCTTCCTTCTTTGCCCCGGCGTGCCGTGCAGTTTCCCAGACCAGCCCCTGAGTCAGCGTTTTAAGGACGCCCCCATGCTCATGCACCATCCGTGAGCGGCTGACATGGGGGCCACCTCTCCCCACCCAGGTCTCTGGCCGACTCCGGGTTTCGCCTGCTGCCATTTTCCGTGGCAATCTGCTCGCGAGCTTCCCGGATGTCACTTTAAACCGGTCCCCGCATGCAGAGGGCGGGGGGGAAGCTATGAAAGAGGCAGCCACTCCCCTTGGGGAAGTCGCAGGTTTAATCAGCAAAGGGAACTTCTTTACGAGGCTTGTCTTGGGCGGCAGCAGGATGAGTGGATCCCCGGGCCCACCTGCTGTATCCTAGAAGTTCATGAAAAGGTCTACGCGGGTTCAGTCGTGTACACGCAGCGTTCTCAGCGCCTCGTCACCCTCTCGAGGCCGTGTCCTTGGAGCTGCCTCTGGGAGCAGGAAAGCCAAGTGCGGCCCACATTCCAAGGACAGGGAAGGGGGTGAGGAGCCTCTGATCGCCCGGGTCCAACTCATGGGTCAATGGGCAATCACATCCTTTTGCTGACCTTCCCCAACACGTTTTATCAGTTGATGTGACTGTCCGTTTATCCATCTATCCATTCGTCTTTCTATGGCCTTTTATTGATCCATGTATTATCTGTTTTGTCGTTAAGATTGATTTCTTTATTAGGGGCGCCTGGGTGGCGCAGTCGGTTGAGCGTCCGACTTCAGCCAGGTCACGATCTCGCGGTCCATGAGTTCGAGCCCCGCGTCGGGCTCTGGGCTGATGGCTCGGAGCCTGGAGCTTGTTTCCGATTCTGTGTCTCCCTCTCTCTCTGCCCCTCCCCCGTTCATGCTCTGTCTCTCTCTGTCCCAAAAATAAATAAACGTTGAAAAAAAAAAATTTAAGATTGATTTCTTTATTAGACAAAGTGTGAGTGGGGCAGGGTCAGAGAGAGAGAGGGAGAGAGAATCCCAAGCAGGCTCCGGGCTGTCAGCGCAGAGCCCGGCGCCAGGGTTCCATCTCACGAACTGTTGAGATCATGACCTGAATTGAAGTCGGACGCTTAACTGACTGAGCCACCCAGGCGCCCCCACCCTGTTTTTCACCCTTGTATGATCCTGTCCATCTGTCCACCCACCCTTCCATCCACCAAACTTTATAGCTGTCTGTCCGTCTGTCTTCCCTCCCTCCCTTCCTCAGCTCAGCTGTCCAAGAGACAGTTCAGTAGAATGGTCAAGAGCACGGGCTCTGGAGCCTGACTGCTTGGGTTTGAATCCCAGCCCTGCCATTTAGTAGCCGTGTGCCCTCGGTCAAGTTTCCTGAGATCTCTGTGCCTCAGTTTCCTAGTCTGCGCAGTAGGGATAATGATAATCCTATTTTTTCCATAGGATTGTTAGGATCATTTGATACCCACAGAGCACGTGATGTGTGCCTCGTACAGAGAAAATGTCCTGGTAGCCACCATCTTTTGCTGTCATTAGTCCATTACCCACTGGCCTGTTTGCCCTTCCATCCGTCCCTCTCTCCGTCCATCGTCCTTCGGTCCTGTCCACCCTGGTTGAGTGTCGGGGGTGGTGCCGTCTCGTGGTGGCCCAGCCGAGGCTGTGTCGGTCCAGGTGCTGAAGGAAAAGAAGCAGGCGACCGAGCGGCTGGCGTCGCTGTCGGCCCAGAGCGAGAAGCGGCTGCAGGAGCTCGAGAGGCACGTGCAGCTCATGCGGCAGCAGCACGGGCAGCTGCAGAGGCGGCTTCGCGAGGAGACGGAGCAGAAGCGGCGCCTGGAGACCGAGATGAACAAGCGGCAGCACCGTGTCAAGGTCGGGTCGGGTCGGGGGCGCCTGGGGTCCCCGGGACTCGCAGCCGCAGGACCTCCCGAGCTGGCGGCTCGGCCTCCCTGAGTTTGTCCTCGCCCCCGAGAATGAGGAGAGCCGGAGGGCACGCGAGGCGGGCGGGACTCAGGAGGTGAGCCGTGCCCGCGGCCGGCGGCCCGCAGGAGCCCAGTCCCAGGGAGACGTGGGTGGCGAGGCCATCTCCGGAGGGGCTCTGGGGAGACGCGGCCCCCCCGCCCCCCTGGGACCCTGCCCCTGAGCTGCTCGCCGGGTGCGTCCCCAGGAGCTGGAGCGGCGGCACGAGCAGCAGCAAAAGATCCTGAAGATCAAGACGGAAGAGATCGCGGCGTTCCAGAGGAAGCGGCGCAGCGGCAGCAACGGCTCTGTGCTCAGCCTGGAGCAGCAGCAGGTGGGCCGGGCCGGGCCGGCGTCCCCGGAGCCCCCGGTCGGCTGCCTCGGTCCCCCTGGGGCGCGGCGGAGGTGGAGGATGGGAGGGGGGGCGCACCCTTCTCCCCCACTGACCCCGGGCAGTGGCCCGTGGGGCCAGGGGTGAGAGCTGAGTTCCCTCCCCCACCCCCGTCAGAAGATCGAGGAGCAGAAGAAGTGGCTGGACCAGGAGATGGAAAAGGTCCTGCAGCAGCGGCGGGCACTGGAGGAGCTGGGGGAGGAGCTCCACAAGCGGGAGGCCATCCTGGCCAAGAAGGAGGCCCTGATGCAGGAGAAGACGGGGCTGGAGAGCAAGCGCCTGCGGTCCAGTCAGGTGAGGCCCCGCCGGCGGGGTTTGTGCCGGGTGAGGTCCTGCCAGGTGAGATGCCGTCGGGTGGCCCCCTCCCATGGAGGTCCCTCCCGGTGCCAACCCTGCCAGGGGAGGCTCTTCCAGGTGATGCCCCTGCCGGGCAAGTTGCAGCCACGTGAGGCTCCGTCCCCTTCATTTCGCCCTCTGCACTTGCTGGGGGCCGTGCAGGCCAACAAGGAACAGCAGGTGTGGAAAGGGGGATGACCGAGGAGACGCAGGCCTCACAGGCGCTGGAGGCCGACAGACCTGGGCAGATGGCGGCCTCCCCGCTGAGCAGTACTCTGTCCCCTCTGTGTCACTGCTTCCTCTTGAGTAAGGAGCTTCTGAGCCAGTGCCCTCTTCGGCCGGTGGAATCACAGTGGTGCCAGGATGGTGGGAAAGGGGGGATGTCAGACCCAGAGCCCGGGCCTGGAGCAGGTGCTCGGACTCAGTGCCCGCGGGGGTCCAGAGTGCTCTGAAGTTCAGCAGGGTTCAGGGTGCTGCTGGATTGTCCGGTGCTGCCCCCTTTCTGCCAGGAGTGCCTTTTCCCATGCTTGCTGGGATCCTTCGGGGCCGTCTCTGGGGGTCCCCCCTCCGAGGCTCTGGTCCCACCGCCCCCACTGGCCGAGCCGCCGCAGAGTCGAGAGCCGGGCCCTCCCGCCGGGCGGTACTCTCGGATTGTAGCGCTCTTGAGGGAAAGGCCCGCAACCTCTGTAGCATCCCGTGGTTGGGCCGCTTCTGTGACCTCTGCGAGGGTGGGGCCGCCCCCTCCCTGACCCCCAGTGGCGCCGCCCCCAGGCCCTCAGCGAGGACATCGTGCGCGTGTCCAGCCGGCTGGAGCACCTGGAGAAGGAGCTGTCGGAGAAGAGTGGGCAGCTGCGGCAGGGCAGCGCCCAGAGCCAGCAGCGGCTCCGCGGGGAGATCGATGCCCTGCGCCAGGAGAAGGACTCGCTGCTGAAGCAGCGCCTGGACATCGACGGCAAGCTGAGGAGGGGCAGCCTGCTGTCGCCCGAGGTGAGCCCCGCGGCCCGGACCTCCGCAGCCTGCCTGTGACACGCTTTCCCTGCGAGTGAGACCCAGGGCGTGGGGCGGCCGCAGCGGGCGTGCTGGCCTGGCCCTTCCTCCCGCTGCGGCCCCCGCAGCAGGGACGCACGGACTTGGCCCTCGCGGTTCCTGCCCGGCTGGACCCTGGGGGCGCTCTGTGTCCTGAGCCGTGTCAGCCCGCGCGTCCGCGCCTCGGCTCCCTGTGTGGGAATGAGCGGTGGCAGCACGTCCCCGCGCCTCGTGCAGTCCCTGAGCAGCAGAGAGAGCCTCGTTGCAATAAACTCACCCCGGTGGCCCCCCTGCTGCCCGTAGCAGACCCGCCGTATCTTCCGTTTGGCGTAGGGTGCTCTGCGCTTCTGTAGATCATGCGACAGGTGATACACCAGAGAGCAGCCCGTCAGCAGAGCCTGGCCTCCCCCGGGGTCGGGGCTGTGACGGAAGCTTCCTGTCCCTGCCATACCAGTCAGGGACACTTTGGATGTGCTGTGAGCTCAGGACGAGGAGACAGAGCGTCTCCCTCGTGGCTGGGTGCTGGTGCCGTCTGCCCAGGGCTGCCATCCGGGGAGTGGGTGTGCGTGGTGTGGGCACCCGGGCCTCCCCTTCCACGCCCGCCCGCGTCCCGCAGGAGGAGCGGACGCTGTTCCAGCTGGACGAGGCCATCGAGGCCCTGGATGCTGCCATCGAATACAAGAATGAGGCCATCACGTGCCGCCAGCGGGTGCTGCGGGCCTCGGCCTCCTTGCTGTCCCAGTGTGAGATGAACCTCATGGCCAAGCTCAGCTACCTCTCGTCCTCGGAGACCAGAGCCCTGCTCTGCAAGTATTTTGACAAGGTGGGTCACCGGCTCCCGGGCCCTCTGCCACCTCCGTCTGGTACTTGTGTGGGGGAGGGGTCCGCTGGCAGCTCCAGACGGGGGTCTGTTTCCTCCCAGATGCAGGGACAGAATCAGGGCCAGCTCCAGTCTCCAGGGCTGCCTCAGACTCTCCTCCTTAAACCCTAACTTTCTTAGTGAAACGAAGACCCGGTCTCCTCTCCCCCCACTTTCCGGCCTCCTGGCCCCTTCAGTGCACCCAGATCGGTGGTTCTCGGCAGGGATGGTTTTCCCCCAGGGGACATCCGACCGAGTCTGGAGATGCTTCCGGTCCTCACAGCCATGAGGGTAGAGACCAGGGATGCTGCTAACCCTACGGCAGGCAGGACAGGTCCCCACAACCACAGACTCCCTGACTGAAATGTCAGTAGTGCGGAGCTTGAGAAGCTGGGCCTCAGCAAGTCTCTGCCCGCGGGCTTAGGAGCCTGGGCCTCGGAAGGAGCTTGAGGCAGGGGTAGGAAGTAAGCTTCCTCTTGACAGCTGACTCTTGTCATTTGGAAATCCCTGCCTCGAACACTGTTGAGAAGGTGTGGGAGGCCAGGTCTTGGCTCAGCGGGACACCCTGGTGATTCCTTAGTGACGTCCGCCCGTGGGGGGTGGTAGCTACAAGTTTGCCAAGTACCTGAGTACCTGCCGCCGGTTGGGGATGATCCGCGCTGGGGGCTGAGCCTGGCTGGGTCTTGGGACAGGTCGTGACGCTCCGAGAGGAGCAGCACCAGCAGCAGATCGCCTTCTCTGAGCTGGAGATGCAGCTGGAGGAGCAGCAGAGGCTGGTCTACTGGCTGGAGGTGGCCCTGGAGCGCCAGCGCCTGGAGATGGACCGCCAGCTGACCCTGCAGCAGAAGGAGCACGAGCAGAACATGCAGCTTCTCCTCCAGCAGAGCCGAGGTGAGGCCCCTCTTCCTGCCCGCGGCCCCTCCCCGCTTTCCTCCTCGGCCCCGCCCCTCCTTCCTCCTCCGCCCCTCCCGGCCTTCCTCCGTGTCCCCTCCCGTCCAGATCACCTCGGCGAGGGGCTAGCGGACAGCAGGAGGCAGTATGAGACCAGGATCCAAGCGCTGGAGAAGGAGCTGGGCCGCCACCTGTGGATGAACCAGGAACTGAAACAGAAGCTCAGTAGCCTGAGTGCGGCGGGCCAGAGCAGGGGTGAGGCTCACCTGACCCGGTTTGGGCCGGCCTCCGGGAAGGCTTGGGAACCCCTCTAACCTCCACTCTTCCGCGGGCATCTCCCACAGGGGAGCTGAGGCCTCCGTTTCTGACGAGTGTCATTGGTCTCGGTGACAGGTGGGGAGAAGAGGGCCCTGTGCCTGGAGAGCAGACCGGCTCCCGGAAATGAAGAGGAGCTGCGCCCCGTGCCCGAGCTTCTCTGGCAGCAGTCCCTCCCTGAGGGGGGCCCCCGCGCCCGAGACGAGGTGCGGGACTTGGTCCGGGCCCCGCTGCCGCTGACGTGGAAGCGCTCCAGCCTGTGCGGTGAGGAGCAGGGCGGCGCCGAGGAGCCCCTGGGAGGGCGGGCGCCCCCCGTGGGTGAGGCGGGCCTGCCCTGGAACCCCGGGCCCCTGCCCAAGCCCCGGCGGGACCCGCGCCGGGCCAGCTCAGGCATGATCGACGTCAGGAGAAACCCGCTGTAGGCTGTGCGCAGAGCCCGCCTTGCAGGGAGGCTGAGCCCGCTCCCGGGCACGGTCAACCCTGTTTGCTTCCTGAAAGACGGCCTTGAGCTCTCCCTCCAAATCCGGGTCCTGATCTTGACACAGCCGGGATCAGCGAACCTGGGCCACCTGCCCCAGTGGATCAGACTCCTATTTTTTCATCTGTAAATTCCTGCCCCTCATTTCTTTGAGCTCCGGTACCGGATTGCCATCTTTTGGCTTGAGAGTTCCCAAAAGGCAATTCTGGTCCCAGACCTGCGTGCGGGTGCCCCCAGTGCTGGGGTTCAGCCGGTGCTGGACACACAACAGTGAGTGGCAACCGGGTTGTGTTTTAAATGGTCTTATGTATATGGTGGGAAGTGGGAAGCTTGGCATAGTTTTAGACTTTTGTAAAACCATTTTATAATAAATGAGACGCCGAAGGGAAGAATGTGAGTTTTTACTTGGTTTGATTTACAAGACACGAGTCAGATTTGAGAACATGACAGGTGTAAAGGCTTTTTAGAGCCCCTGAGACAGGCCCAATTCAGAATTGTGGACCGGGGCCCCCACCAGGAGTCCCCAGAAGCTGCTCCTTGGGACACGCCGGGCCTCTGTGTGACTCCGGTGCGTCTCCCCACTCACGGTGAGGACCGTTGGGCACTGGCTGAGTTTCAGAGCAGACCCGGGGATGTGGCTGCTCCAGGAACCACCAGAGCTCAGCCCTGGTGAGTAAGCAGAAATGCACTGAGTAGCAAGAGAGGACTTTATTATTATACGGGGAAGGCAAGAAATTTATTCTGTCTGCCACCACCTTCAGCTTTGTGTGTGGTGCTTTAGTTCGCGAGCCCTGCCGGGATCTCCGGGGCCCAGCCTAACGGCAGCTTCATAAAGAACCCATGAAGGGGCTGGGGGGGGGGGGGGGGCGACTGACTTGCCTTGGTCTCTCGGAGGGCAGGGCTGGAATGAGCGCCTGGTCTTACAGTTCCTGCCTGCTTCCTGACTCCCAGCCCCAGCGACACCACCTCCCTAAGGAGGGGTAGGGCTGGATTTCCGGAGAGGGAGTAAAGACTGTGACAGCTGACCACAAAGAGGCATGGGGACCGGGCTGACTGCAGCTTCCTCTTTTGAACTCCCTTGGCTCCACTGAGCCCTGGCGATTCCTGTTTCTGTGCAGCAAGCCCAGGGTTACGTGGGACAGAGAGCAGCCTGGAACTTCCAACCCGGAGAAGACCGCTCAGAACACGTCTTCTGTGCTGGGGACACGGTGGCTCCGGCCACGCTCCGTAGTGTTTGAAGTTTTAAGTCCCCCGACCGGTTCCAGCCTCACTAGCTAATCAGCTTCTTCCGTGTGTAAGTTCTGCTGATGGGGCGTCTCCTGGAGAAGGCTCGGCTGAAAGGAGAGTCTTCTGCTGTGGCCGGGAAAACATCCATATCCTCATCTAGAGAAAGGCAGAAAGACTTAGTGGGCAGGAAGTCACTGAGGACAGAACAAAAGAAAACGGGCTTGAACTGGAGAGGCTACACCCGAAGACGGACTGACACCAGCACTGCCTGCAGGTTCTCGGGCTGCGTGAGCGCCCCCCACCCGTCAGCACTGACTGGACGGCAGTAAATAATGGAAAAAGCTAAGTACTGCAGTTTGAACTCCCTCAGCTGGGTCTGTACATTCTTTTTGGCTCAGATTGTGGGGTTTATGCTGTTTCACGTGATTTATGTCTGAGTGTCAAGGGAGAAGAACCACCAAAGGCCCCCCACTCCTGCATTCCCCTTTAGTTCCAGGAGCCCTTTCTAACCCATGCACTCAGCAGACGCAAGCCATGGGGTCGAGGAAAGGGAAGCCTCGAGTCTGATCACGACAGCCAGTCCTCCATCTACCACAGAAGCTTCCAGTACAGAAGCGTGGAACCCGCTGTGGGAAAGCCGCCAGCGTGCCGCCCACCCCTCTCCTCCACACGCTCCCGCCACACAGGATGTGGGATGTCCACATCTGTCACAGTTTCAAGAAGCTGAAGAAAACACATCAGGATCTGAGGCCTGCACTTAACTACACCATGGGGTTAGAACCATTCTTTGGGAAGAGCACGGGACCCTGCAGGGACGGTCCTCTGTCCCGAGACCCCGGCCTTCCCTAGAACTCCTTCCCCAGACGGCCTGGCAGCCCCGAGCTGACCCTGGGGAGGCACCCAGCAGTCACTCCTCAGGACCTTCCGTGAACAATTACCTCTGGCATCGTTCCACCGAGAGGAAGGCGTTCTCCCCTGGAACAGCAGTGGAGACTGGGTCAGGGCCTGCAGCCCGCTGGCAGAGACGCCACTCCGCACGGCACAGCCGGGAGAAGGCGTGGAACCTACAGAGACGCAGGGTGAGCACGGCTCCGTGGTACCCCATGCCACGGGGCCCGGGCCTCTTCAAGGAGCAGCTCTGAGGCGCTCCCCCCAACCCCCAAAACCCACGGCGGCAGCCTCACCTGAAAAGAACACCTCGTCGTCCCCCGTGGAGGGCAGGTACAGCACGCTCACGCCCGGAGACCGCTCCTCGCTCTTGCTGAATTCTGGGTCTCCTCTCTGCCCGTCACACGCTCTTTTTGCTTGACACTCCATTTCCTCCTCAGCAGGAAGGAGCCTCTTCCTGGAACCCAGCCCAAACTGTCCCCAAGAGCAGGCTTCCTCGGCCTTCGGCACACTGTCCCCGGGAGGCGAATGGTCGGGCAGCTGGCACACCCCCTCGAGCTCAAAATCCCCCAAGAGGCGAGTTCTGCTGATGCTGAGCTCGGGGCCTCGCTCCCTCCTCTCCGGCTCGAGTAGGGACACCCCTGCAGGGAGGTCAGCGCTGACCTCACTCCTCGCAGCAGAGCTGCTGCCCACTGCCCGCTTCCTGCGGGGCCAGTCTCTGATGGTGTCCGGAGTGGTCTTCCCGCTGTGCTTGGGAGACGGGGTCCAAGGAACACTGCCGTCTGTCTGAAACGGAGAGGGGGTGCTAGAGGGGCCGCGGGTGGGGGTACAGGACTGGCAGATGTACATCTGTCCCCCGCTCTTGCCAGGGGTGCTGTGTGAGGGGCGGAGGCAGGGGGGAGACACATAGGTGGCTTCGGGTCTCCCTGAGGACCTGCCAGCCCGGGGCAGGCCAACACCAGGGAGGGAGCTCTCGTCGCCCCGGGAGCTCCCCGCCCTTCGTAGGGACTCAGCTTCACACAGACAGCCGGGGTCGATCTTTCTGATGCGAAGCTTGGGCAGGCCAGAAGCTCGCATCTCCAGCTCTACCTCGTATGTCTGCGGGCTGGCGGGGGCTTCTGGAAGCCGAGCTGACGCCTGCAGATCCTCCAGCTGCGCGGCGGCCTGGCGCTGCCTTCTGTCTGCAGTGCAGCGCAGGTCGTAGGAAGGTGTCGGGGGAGAACCAGGCCCGCAGGAACGAGGGGATGGAAGAACCCCAGGGCTCGACGGAGAAGACTTCTCCTTGGCAACCATCGTCCTTGACTGCCTCTCCTCTCCCATTGGTGCCACATCACTTTTCAAGCCGTCACTGCCGTCAAGCTGTGCTTCGTCCAGGGGAGTGAGATACTCTGTGTCACTCGCCATCAGCAGAGGAGAGGACAGACGCCAGTCCCTCCTGAAGCCAAGCCCAGGGTAGCTGTGTCTTTCAGGGGAAGACCGAAGAGAAAGGCTCACTTCCTTCTGGTCCTTTCTGGCATCTGTGCTGGCAGCTGGGTTGTCAGCTGGGGCCTCTCTAGGAGCAGCAGAGGCACTAGGCTGGTGTTCCAGGAAGCTGCTTGCAAGATCCGAGGGCCCTCTGCACCTTTTTCCAGTTTTAGAGGGGGGCAGAGGGGGTGCGGGGTCAGACTGGGCATTCTGCAGGATTCTGGGAGGAGTTGAGGAAGCAGGACAGGAGAGAGGTGAGGCTACATTGGGGGCTTTCCAGGGCTCTCTCCAGTCCATTTCTCCAGGGGAAGGAGAGTTCGTCGAAAATTTCCGAAATGGACTCTTCTTGGAAACCTTGCCTGAGGGAAAGGTGAAAGGCTTCTCTGGAGGAGGAGATGGGGGAGGCACCAGACTTGTCATCCCCGGGCTCCCGGGGGTGGAGGCGGCTTTCTCCTTTCCTTTTTGTGCTAGCTCCCCTGCCTGGGAGGCCCCCGGGACACAGGGACGGTGGTGCTCTTGGTCCGGAGGTGTCTCTCCCCGCACCTCCGAGGCTGCCGCTCGCGGAGAGGACCCGGCAGGACTCAGACCTGCAGTCCCGTTGGGGGCTGCGGGGCAGGGGGTGCTTTCTGGACTGGAGGTCACCGAGAGTGGCCAAGTAGAATTCCGCAGAAATCCAGCTGGCTGACCACCTGGCCTTCCGGGGGTTCTTGGGATCTTCTTTTCAAGAGGAGAGGTTCCTCCTTTAGCCAGGGAGCAGCCTTTCTGAGGAGTGACTTTTGGTTGAGATGGTGAGCCCCAGTCCTGTGAGGAGTCTTTTAAGGACTCCTCAAAAATGGCCTGTTTCGCAGGGGTCACTTCAGTAGGGGGTTTCTGCCACCTTTCAGGGGTGCGCAGTGGAGTTCGTGGCATACGAGGGAACCGTCTCGGCGTCACTTTAGAAGAGCTTGGAGATTTCCGGTTACTCTTCTTGGGAGTCTGTAAAGAAATGCTCATTTCAGTGCCTGAATGTCATCACCCATATGCTCTACAGAGCATCTGAGTCACCTCTAAGACAATCAGAAAGGCACATGGGAAATCCTTAACCTGGATTTCAGACAGTGGCACATTTCAATTTCCAAAACATGATGCGCACTTTTCTTTTCCTAGCACTAAGCACCAAATCTGATCTTGGTCCTAAGACCAAGAATTTTCTTCAGATGCATACTACAGCTAAAACACGCTTTGCCTTCGATGGTGGATCACTCCACTACTGCCACGGTCTCTTCCACCGCACCACTCCTGCTCCCTTCCTGAAGTCGCTTCTAGGTGTCACATCAGCTGCTGTTCACCTGCCTTCAACATGTGCTTGCTACACACCCGTCATGTGTCAGGCCGTGGCGGGGGGGTGGGGTGGGGATGGAGTATGGAATAGACGGATACATAAGGTCCAGCAACAAAGACGACGTCTCAGGAACAACACTCCCCAGCAAAAAATCTCCCTTCCTTCTGGCAAAATGCAGTTAAACACTCCAACAGGTAAAGCAGGTCAGACACCCATCACGATCATCTCAAGGGAATCCCGGTCTAGTGGGTATTTCACGTGGAATGGGGTACAGAAAGATGGTAACAGTGTCACCAGCGCACCGACAGGGATGTGCGTGGGACAACACGTGTTGGCAGCACAAGAGAGGACTGTCTAACCCAGCTAGCCTGAAGGGGGGACAGGAACAGTGAGTTAGGTCATTAAGAATGGGTACCAGCAGGTAAATGCAAAAGGTGGGAAAGCAGGGAAGAGGTAATTTTGGTGCCTTTTTAAAAAAAAAAATTTTTTTAACGTTTATTTATTATTGAGAGACAGAGACAGAGTGTGAGCAGGGGAGGGGCAGAGAGAGGGAGACACAGAATCGGAAGCAGGCTCTGAGCTGTCTGCACAGAGCCCTACCCGGGGCTCGAACTCACAAACCGTGAGATCATGACCTGAGTCGAAGTCGGACGCTTAACCAACTGAGCCACCTAGGTGCCCCTGGTGCCTTTGCTCTATCATTTTCTCTGCCTAAAACGAAAACCAGCAGCTGCATGCGGACCTATGTGCAGCCTGACGTCACCGGAAAGGTAGAGGACAGAGCAGAGGGAGAGTGGGAGCCAGAGCCAGCCGATGGAGGCCCATGCCCATCTGGAGAGGACTGAACCTGGTTCCGTAAATCTGTGGTCTTCAAACCCATCTCCATAGCTGAGTGTCCTGCCACAAACTCTAAGCGGTTTATTGGGTTTCCAAATAAAAATTATTTTTTAACATAAGGATTCCATTTTCAGAAAACCCTGTTTAACAACAGGTCTCTAGAGCTTTAAGCAAAGTGATGCAGTCAGAAAGCTCACTCCAGGGGGTGCCTGGGTGGCTCAGTGGGTGAAGCATCCAACTTCGGCTCAGGTCATGATCTCCCGGTTTGTGGGTTCAAGCCCCGCGTTGGGCTCTGTGCTGACAGCTCAGAGCCTGGAGCCTGCTTCGGATCCTGTGTCTCCCTCTCTCTCTGCCCCTCCCCCCACTGTGCTCTCTCAAAAATAAATAAATGTAAAAAAAAAAAAGGCTCACTCTGGCCTCTGGGGGCAGGATGGACTTGAGAGGGAAGAGGGAAAAGACAGTTGAAATGTTCCAGGCAGAACTGGAATAGGGCAGAACTGCAGGGATGGAGAAAAGGGAATCGGTATAAATGGCTATGTCTGGGAGTGACTCAGGCTTCTCACGTGGATGACTGGATTGGGTGGGTAGTGTAAGGGCAACAGATGAATGATGCCTGTACATTTCAGGAAGATCTACACGTGGTGTATGATAAAAATGGTGGACGAAACCAAGAGACTAGATGAGATCATTTCTGTTTTCTCCTACCACCTTGGCCTCAGCCAAACTGCTGCCTTACATCCCTATATACCCAATAACCATTCATCTCGATCAACCCAACCACCCCCAAATACGTATTAACATCTACAGATCACCTGCTTTCTTGTCCCTAATGGTCTCAGTGGGTTTTCTGGGCCATGTTTGTTTCCCCCCACAAGACCACACTATTTTAAACATTATAGAAATGTTATACCTGATAAGCTGTAGGTATCTCAGAACCCAATGTGCTTCTTGAAGTCCTCTGAAGTCGAGCTGAACCCTTCTCAGAAGGACTGACCATCTCATGCAATGCCCCAAAAAGCAGGCTCTTGGGAGAACGAATACTTCGGTTTGGAGATTTTTCTCTTTGGTCTGCAAGTCAAAAACAGTAATTCTTTCTCAACTTCTGCCCTCCCAATACTAACAGAACAGCCAGTCCATACAAGAAAACAATTTTTTTCGAGCTACTGGGAGTGGGGGATCCCACCTAATTACGCCAGCAACCCCAATTATTGCTGCCATCTGGACTTTTAATAAGATTGCATAGTTACCTCAGCCCTTATGTGAGGCAAGTAAAAGAATTTAATTTGTAAATACAAAAACACATTATCTGATGATCCAAACTAATGATGGATGAAAAAATGAAGGACAAACAGGTATCCCCTTCCACCTAGGACCCGAGTGTAGAATGTGAACACATGGTGGAAATAACAGGTAATTTACCTGTTGAATGAATAAATTACCGAAAGGATAGTATGAATGACCAGCTGTAGGAATCCAAAGGAAGGACACTGTTAGTGAATGTCATGGATCGTCCATCACTCTAAACCTCTACTGAATATGCCTGTTGTACCGCTCCAATATCAAGAAAGGAAATGCCAAGTTTTATACTTCTTTTCCCAAAAATACTTCCCGCCAAGTAGGCACACAACTAGGCGGTGGGCAAGCAAGTTACCTGATTTGTCTTGCTGGAATGAGTGAACTCTTTGCACACTTCGAGACTTGGGCTGAGACGCAGAATAGAAGGAACCAGAATTTGTCCTGCTGAGTGACAACTGCTTGATTCGAGGACTTCGTCTCAAGCTTATGTCTACAAAACCAGAATCACAGTTAGTAACCAGGGAGAAACACAAGCTTTTTACATTTGCCTGTGTATGAAATGGGTAAAATTTATGTTATACCACATACAAAATGGACTGTCACAAATTACTGACCTTGAGACTTCTGAAGTGTAACAGAGTTACAAGGGGTAGGACATATGGCTCCAACAAAGTTCAGAAAAACCACTGACCTACCAGACTGTGACCTTTGGAAATCTCAAACTGCCACCCTTTTAACCATGATACTGGGTGAAAAAAGGGTTTATATAGTGTGACTTCTGCAAAAAATTTTTTAAATTTAAAAATTGCAGTTTTCATGTTTATGATACATACATTTGTGTAGCAACGACACCTGTCAGAGTATCAGTGAAGCTAAAACGTTAAGTATTTCTGAGTTGTGGGATTACCAAGCAATTATTAAAAATTTGGCTTCTTGGGGCGCCTGGGTGGCTCAGTCGGTTAAGCGTCCGGCTTGGGCTCAGGTCACGATCTCGCAGCTTGTGAGTTCGAGCCCCGCGTCGGGCTCTGTGCTGACAGCTCACAGCCTGGAGCCTGTTTCAGATTCTGTGTCTCCCTCCCTCTCTGACCCTCCCCTGTTCATGCTCTGTCTCTCTGTCTCAAAAATAAATAAATGTTAAAAAAAAAATTTTTTTTTTTAACTTGACTTCTCTATTTTTTATTTTACTTTTCTGATTTTTCTACAATAAACAAATTACTTGAGTCATTAAAAACATGACTTTGTTTTTGGAAAAAACAAAATGTTTGCTTTTGGAAACCCCTGAATTACATGTACTTTAAAAAGAAGCCACGGCACTTTGTATCACCCCGTGTTAGCCCGTACCCTGACCTCTGTTCCTACTGTGTAAAAAGGTTTCTCCAGAAATTCCCTCAGGAAATTCTGTGTAAAAGGCCATTTACTAATAAACATTTACTGATCTACACTGCAGGCCCAGAGCTGTCATAGTGTCTGCACAATATCTTAGGACATGCTGAACACCACCACAAATAGAGGGTTTTCAAAGAAACTAGAGAAAACAGCACAAAACAAACATAGGTAATACCGTCTGCTCCTTTTTCTGGGGACTCTTCGACTATGTCAATATCAGGACCAGGCTCCGAGGACCTTAATGAATAACAAGCATAGGGATTATTTAGTATCACTCATGGTTCATGCACCACAAGCCTCACAAAGCAACAGAGACCACAGGGCTTAAGAGTACCAGTGTTGGCAAGCACTCTCATATACTTTACTGTTGCAAGTAAAATGGTTAGAACACTTTTTTGGAAAGTGGTTTTACAACAAAAAAATTAATTAAAAATATGCATGCCTTCTAACCCACCCATTTCTCTCCTTGCAATTTATCCTGTAGATAACTTGCACAAGTATGTAAAATCTGTACACAAATAATGTCAAGATGAAACCTTCCTATTATTCCTGTTAAGTTCAGCTAAAAACCCTGGATGTTATATTAAAATGAACTACAGGGGCGCGTGGGTGGCACAGTCGGTTAAGCGTCCGACTTCAGCCAGGTCACGATCTCGCGGTCCGGGAGTTCGAGCCCTGCGTCGGGCTCTGGGCTGATGGCTCAGAGCCTGGAGCCTGTTTCCGATTCTGTGTCTCCCTCTCTCTCTGCCCCTCGCCCGTTCATGCTCTGTCTCTCTCTGTCCCAAAAATAAATAAACGTTGAAAAAAAATTAAAAAAAAAAAAATGAACTACAGATTAAACAGTGACAAGAAGAGGCAGGTGGCTGGGGATCCCAGGACCCAGAGAGACAGGGCAGTGAGCTCCCAGAGAGTTCCCTTTTTGCTTCCTGGATCCTGGACTGGGTGCTGGGGAAATAGATAACCCAAATATGCCAACAGGTACCAAAACTGCCCTAAGAAAAGTCAGCTTTCTCTAGCCAAAGAGCCAGGAAAGGGGCAGCTTAGCACGACAAACTTTCAGACACTAACTACCATGGAAAACTGTGGCCCACCACACACATAGGCTGAGCCGAGATCCTAAACTTGCAGCCTGGTCCAGCAGTGATGATGACCCCTCCATGTAATGACAGATGCTTTTGCATTTTTGTTTTCTAATTTTTGAGACAGAAAGCAGGGGAGGGGCAGAGAGAGGGAGACAGAGGATCAGAAGCAGGCTCCGTGCTTACAGCAGAGAGCCGGATATGGGGCTTGAACTCATGAACCACAAGATCATGACCTGAGCCAACATCAGAAGCTTAACCGACTGAGCCACCCAGGTGCCCCGCGTGGGTTTTTTTTTTTTAAGTTTTTTATTTTTAGAGAGAAAGTGTGAGCATGTGAGGGGAGGAGCTGAGAGGGAGAGAATTTTTTTGAAGGTTTTTTAAAATGTTTATTTTGAGAGAGAGCATGTGCACAAGGGAGGGGCACAGAGAGAGAGAGAATCCCAAGCAGGTGGCACGGAGCCTGACGTGGGGCTTGAACACATAAACCATGAGATCACGAGCTCAGCCGAAACCAAGAGTCAGTTGCCTAAGTGACTAAGCCACCCAGACGCTCCAAGAGAATCTTTAAGCAGGCTTTGCACTTAGCACACAGCCCAACATGGGGCTTGATCTCACAACCATGAGGTCCTGACCTGAGCCAAAATCAAGAAATCAGACAGTTAAATGACTGAGCCACCCAGATGCCATGAAGAATGGTTTTTAAAATTGTGCAGGGGAGGACTGGGTGGCTCAGTCAGCTGAGCACCAGACTCTTGACTTTGGCTCAGGTCGTGATCCCAGGATCTTGGGATCAAGCCCTGTGTGGGTGGCTGAGCACAGAGCTTGCTTGGGTTTTCTCCCTCCTTCTTCTGCTCCTCCCCCATGTGTGAGCACATGCATACACGCTCTCTGAAAAAAAATTTTTTTTAAGTTTATAATGGAAATGCAAGCTGGTGCAGCCACTCTGGAAAACAGTATGGAGGTTCCCAAAAAACTAAAAATAGAACTACCCTACAACCCAGCAATTGCACTACTAGGCATTTATCCAAGGGATACAGGTGTGCTCTTTTGAAGGGACACATGCACCCCCGTGTTTATAGCAGCACTATCAACAATAGCCAAAGTATGGAAAGAGCCCAAATGTCCATCGATGGACAAATGAATAAAGATGTGGTATATATGTACAATGGAGTATTACTCGGCAATCAAAAAGAATGAAATCTTGCCATTTGCAACTACGTGAATGGAACTGGAGGGTATTATGCTAAGTGACATTAGTCAGAGAAAGACAAGTGTCATATGACTTCACTCATATGAGGATTTTAAGAGACAAAACATGAACATAAGGGAAACAAAAATAACATAAAAACAGGGAGGGGGACAAAACAGAAGAGACTCTTAAATATGGAGAACAAACTGAGGGTTGCTGGAGGGGTTGTGGGAGGGGGGATGGGCTAAATGGGGAAGGGGCACTGAGGAATCTACTCCTGAAATCATTGTTGCACTATATGCTAATTTGGATGTAAATTAAAAAAAAAAATAAAACAAGTTAAAAAAAATTTTTTTAATTAAAAAAAAAAGTTTATAAATGTGGAATACCCATTTGATGGACTGCTTCTCAGCAACCCCTCACCACCCCAAAAAGGAAGAAATATGGATACATACAACACCATGGACCAATCTCAAAATAATTATGCCAAGTGAAAGAGGTGACGCAAAAGAGTGCATTCTGTATGATTCTCTAGCCCTCAGAATTTACAGAATGCTGAATACTCTTTAGTAATAAGACAGTTAAGACATCAGTCACAGGGGCTCCGAGAAGGTGGACAGTGGCCCACAAGATCATTAGCAAGGCTGTGTGACTACACAAAGTAGCTAGGCAAGGATGTTACTCACCTGCCCTTGATTTGTCTATGAAGAAGCCTTCTGGAGACCTGCTTATGTACTGGAGTCTCAGCCACACTCTTAGTCAGCAGTTTGTGATAACCTAAAATGTAAATAGCATCAATTTCATTTAACCTTATCAAGAAGTGGCAGCAAGGCAAAGCGAGCAGTCTGCAATTCTGTATGGCTTACTACTCACCTGGAGTGGTTTTTGTTTGTCTTTACCGGAGGGGCTCTTGATTGTTTTGGGGCTAACGTCTAACCATCGGACTTAATTTAACATGATACCATGATACAACAGTCAATCAGCATTAGAGATTAAATAATAAGCTAGTGTAAAATACTGTAAAATTCTAATAAGCAATTCTGAAAAAAAAATATTTAATCAGGACTAATAAGTATCCATCTCACCAGTGCTTCTTATATTTATGATGAAATGATAGAGTATGAAAGTGCTGACATGCCACACAGATATTAAGATACTGAATAGCGAGAGCCATCTAGCCGGCATGCATTTCCGCAGTGGGGTATGTAAACCAAGCTGATCACGGGAGGACTAGTTTAGAGGGAATTAGAAGTGACCAGGAAGAGAAGTGATGTCGGCAGGAATGTGGTGTAAGAACCTCTGAAATAACTCTTCCACAAAAGGAACGAGAACATTGGGCAAAAATGGGCAAAATCAGCCTTTTCAGAACTCTGGAAATTAACTAGTTTGCAACAATCCATGGAGTGTTTATCCAAGAAAAACAGTGAATCCCAGTAACAGCAGCCAAGTCCATGGAACTTTATCTTGCCCCAGCGCCCCCAGCCCTGTAGCCTTGAAAACCAACAGCCTGCAATCACTCTGCAGACCAACGGCCCAGGGGCCTGTGTGTGAACAGGGCCAAATGAGACTGGAGCTCCTCCAAAGCCCCATTCACAGATGTCATTATCTGACCTGTCTGGCAGTTCCCCCGCAAAAGCAAAATCTCACGGGCTCAAGTAGTCTCTGTTTGACCTCAGGACTCACCCAGTATGAATGAGCTTTTTCCAGGGAGCACTTACTGAAACCAACCAGCAGCACTTGTGAACATCACAGCTGCCTAGGGGAGTGATAACAGCTGGGGCAAACAACAAGCTAACCAAAAGCGTAAAAGGGGAAACTAGGGAATGAGGTGTCTATGGAGGACTCAACAAACCTTCAACATATTCCTGGGACCTAAAACTCCATGCAATGCAGGGCTGTGTGCACGCCCAGGGTAAACCCAAGAAGGCCCTAAGCTGTCACCCACTGCTCACCTTGAGGCTCTAGAAAAGCAGAGAGAAATATACACTGCCTGGCTGAGTACTGAAGAAATGAGCCAACGCACCAAAGGCCCTCAGCAAAGGCTGAGAAACTTACTGGTTCCAGGCATCAAAGAAAATCTGTCCAATCATTAGCTGGATCGCTAAGCTAAGTGAGCAGATGTCAGTGGCCACACATGACAGAATACAGACTTTAAAGAATTAGTTCAGGAAAGTCACCAAACAAAAGCAGTAACAAGAACAACAAACACTGGAGGGGAGAAGTCAGAAGTGCCTTATTATGTTACGTCCAGTTGTCAATAAACAAAGAGACACGCAGGGGTGCCTGGGTGGCTCGGTCGGTTATGTGTCCAGCTTCGGCTCAGGTCACGATCTCGTGGTCCGTGGGTTCGAGCCCTGCGTCGGGCTCTGTACTGACAGCTCAGAGCCTGAGCCCGTTTCAGATTCTGCGTGTGTGTCTGTCTGTCTCTACCCCCACTCGCACTCTCTCAAAAACAATCATTAAAAAAAAAAAAAAGAAAAGCGCTGAAAGGGCAAAGACTCAACCAAGAATTGAATATCCAGCAAAATTATTGTTCAAAATGAGGGAGAAATTAGCACATTCCCAGGTTAAAAACAAATCCCCCCCCCCCCCAAAAAACAGAACTTTTCAGTAGCAGACCTGCCCCATGCGTAATACTAGAGGGGGTCCTTCAGGCTGAGAGCAAAGGGCACTCAAGAGTGAGGCAAATCCTGGGGCGCCTGGGTGGCGCAGTCGGTTAAGCGTCCGACTTCAGCCAGGTCACGATCTCGCGGTCCGGGAGTTCGAGCCCCGCGTCGGGCTCTGGGCGGATGGCTCGGAGCCTGGAGCCGGTTTCCGATTCTGTGTCTCCCTCTCTCTCTGCCCCTCCCCTGTTCATGCTCTGTCTCTCTCTGTCCCAAAAATAAATAAACGTTGAAAAAAAAAAATTAAGAGTGAGGCAAATCCATGGGAAGAATCAAAGAGCACCAGGGAAGGAACTAGATAAAGAAATACGACGTACAGCACAGAAGCAGTTTCCGTTTGTAACTCTCTTCTCCTAGGAGTTGAAAAATAAAGTGATCATTATAAATTGATGTTGATGGGCATAGAGTGTACGAAGATGTAATGTGTATAACAACGGAGCACAAAGGAGGGGGTAGGAAACAGAACGGTATTTATAGGAGCAAAGTTTTTCAATACTGCTCAAATGAAGTTGGTATTAATCTGAATTAGGCTCTTAGAAGATAGGAATTGTAATCTCCAGAGGGAGTGATGTTACACTAAATAGTGCCATAAGAAGCTAGGGGTTGGTCTCTCCACCAAAACAGCTAGTAAGCTGGCAGGGGAGTGGGGGGTGGGAAATGATCAGGATCAAGTATTTTAGAACTCTGGAACCCAAGGAGCTACTGGCAACAATGAGGGACAGGATCTGTGCAAGGAAGATGCTGCTGATTTCTGGTAAGGGAACACCACGCATGAAGCTCTGACCTCCTCTCCCCAGCCTCACCGCAGCTGTGGGGAGAGGGGCCGACACTCCGGGAGCAGGTGGCTGATGGTAGGGCAGACACCTTGTCCTCCAAACTTGGGGTTGTGTGGCTAATCCGATGGACCCCTGATGGGCGGGCGCAGACACTTGCTCTGGTTTTGGGACCTCCAGGAGGCAGCTGCGTTTCCCAAGATGGCTATGGGAATATTTAAAGGGACAAGAATACTTTCTTGTTTTTCCCTTTTAAGAGTCAGACATTTAAGGAAATCTTGGTCAGGTTACTGGCAAACCAGAGATAACAGAACAGAAACTTCGGTGACCACACACAATATGGACTACATGTCTCTGTTTGGAAAACAGAGACAGCTGAAGTCCTCAATATGCGAAGAGGAGCAAACACTCAGGAGTGGGAGAATCTGGTTTCCAAAGTTGCCACATTGTAATAGTCAGAATATCTAATCTTCAACAAACAATTACAAAATATACAAAGGAACAGGGACATAGAGCCCATCCACAGGAAAAGGAGAATTTGATGGAGACCGTCACTAAGAAAACCCATCAGAATGGCTGGTCAAGGACAGTAAATCAAGTTTTCTAAATGTGCTCAATGACTCAAGAATATCACAAAGAAATAAAGAAATCAGTAAAACAATGTATGAACAAAATGAGACTGTCAACAAAGTGATAAAAATTATTAAAAGAAACCTAATTCTCAAACTATTCCAAAAAATAAAAGAGGAAAAAAAACTTCTAAATTCATTTGACAAGACCAGCATTACCCTGATACCAAAACCAAAGACACTACAAAAAACTACAGCCCAGTATCTCTGATGAACAAAAATGCCAAAATCCTCAACAAAATATCAGCAAACCGAATCCAGCAATACATTAAAAAAATCCCTCACCACAAGTATGATTTAATCCAAAGATGCAAGCGTGGTTCAATATTTGCAAAACAACGTGATTCTTCACATGAACAAGAGAAAGAATACCAACTGTATGATCGTCTCAATAGACACAGAAGAAACATTTGACAAACCACAGCATCCATTTATGATAAAAACTCTCAACAAAGTAGGTTTAGAGGGAACATACCTCAAAGTAATAAGGCCATAGACGAAAAACCCACAGCTAACATCATACTCAATGGTGAAAAATGAGCTTTTCCTCTAAGATCAGGAAAAAGACAAGAGTATCAACCACTTTTATTCGACACAGTACCACTGGAACTCCTAGCTGTAGCAATTGAACAAGAAATAAAAGGCATCCAAATTGGTAAGGAAGAATTAAAACTGCCACTATTTTCAGATGACATGATACTATATATAGAAAACCCTACAGATTCCACCAAAAAGCACTAGAACCGATAAATAAATTTAGTAAAGGTGCAGGATTGCAATTAATATACAGAAATCTGTTGCCTTTCTACACACTAGTAACAAAGTAGAAGAAAAAAAAAGCCCATTTACAACTGCACCAAAAAGAATAAAATACCTAGGAATAAACTTAACCAAGGAGGTGAAAGACCTGTATTCTGACAAGTATAAAACACTGATAAAAGAAATTGAAGAGGACACAAATAAATGGAAAGATATTCCATGCTCATGGATTTGAAGATTTAATATTGTTAAAATTTCCATACTACAAAAAGCAATCTACGGATTTAAGATAATCCCTATCAAAATACTAACAGCATCTTTCACAGAACTAGAACAAATACTAAAATTTGTACGGAACCACAAAAGATCCCAATTAGCCAAAGCAATCTTGATAAGGAACAAATCTAGAGGTATCACAACCTGTGATTTCAAGATATACTACAAAGCTATAATGAAAACAGTATGGTACTGGCACAAAAATAGACACACAGATCAAAAGAATCAATACAGAGCCCAGAACTAAACCACTCTTATGTGGTAAATCTACAACAAAGGAGGCAAGAATATACAGTGGGAAAAGAGTCTCTTCAATAAATGGTGCTGGGAAAACCGGATAGTTGCGTGCAAAGGATGACACTGAACCACTTTCTTATGCCATATATGAAAATAAAATGGATTAAAGACCTAAATGTGAGAACTGAAAGCATAAAAATCCTAGAAGAGAACACAGGCAGTAACCTGACATCAGCAACTTCTTTCTAGGTATGTCTCCTCAGGCAAGAGAAACAAAAGCAAAAATAAACCTTTGGGACTACACTGAAATATAAAAAGCTTCTGCACAGCAAAGGAAACCAACAAAACGACAAGGCAACCCTACTGAATGAGAGAAGATATTTGCAAATGACATATCCAATAGGGGGTTAGTATCCCAAATACATAAAGAACTCATGCAAATCAACACCAGAAAAATAATCCAATTAAAAAATGGGCAGAGGACCTGAACAGCTATTTCTCCAAAGACATACAAATGGCCAACAGAGACATAAAAAGATGCTCAAACATCACTCATCATCAAGGAAACTGAAATCAGAACTACAATGATAGGTCACTTTACGCTTGTCAGAATGGCTACTATCAAAACAAGAAATAACAAATGTTGGTGAGGATGTGGATAAAAGGGAACCCTTAGAACTGTTGGTGGGAATACCAGCTGGTGCAGCCACTGGGGAAAACAGTATGAAGGTTCCTTTATTTTATTATTATTTTTTTTTTTGTAGAGGAAATTCTTGATTTTTTAATATATATATATATATATACATACATATCTTGATTCTAAACCTTATAGTTTTGGACTATTATTATTTTTTATTTAAATCCAGGTTAGTTAACATGTAGTGTAATAATGATTTCAGGAACAGAATTTAGTGATTCATCACTTACATGTAACACCCAGTGCTCATCCCAACAAGTGCCCTCCTTAATGCCCAATGACAGTTCATTTAAAAATTAAAAACAGAATTATCATATAATTCACCAGTATAATTCCACTACTGGGTATCTATCCAAAGAAAATGATAACTGCTAATTCAAAAAGATATACACACAACTCTGTTTATTGCAACTTTACAATAGCCAAGATATGGAAGCAACCCAAATGCCCATTGATAGATGAATGGATAGAGAAGATGTGGCATACATACAATGGAATATCACTCAGCCATAAAAAAGAATGAGATCTTGACATTTGTGACAACATGAATGGCCCTAGAGGGTATTTTGCTAAGTGAACTAAGTCAGAGAAAGACAAATGCCATATGGTTTCACTTATATGTGGAACCTAAAAAAACAAAACCAGACTCCTCAATACATAGAACTGGTGGTCCCCAGAGGGGAGGTGCGTGGGGGGTGGGTGAAATAGATAAAGGGAATTAAGAGGTACAAACTTTCAGTTATAAAATAAACAGGTCACAGAGATAGTACAGCACTCTACCCAATAAGAGCAGAATACACATTATTCTCAGGCACACACAGAACACTCTCCATTATAGGTCAAATGGAAGAGCATAAAATAAGTCTCAAATTTAATAAGACTAAAATACAAAGTTTGTTCTCCAACCACAATGGAGTGAAATTGGAAATTAACAACAGAAGGAATTTGGGAAACTCACAAATACATGAAGGTCAATGCACACATAAATAGTCAATGGGCCAAAGAAGAAATCACAAGGGAAATTAGAAAATATTTTGAGATAATGACAATGAAAGCACAACACACCCAAACTTACAGGACACAGCTAAAGTAGTGCTTAGAAGGGAATTTGTACCTGTAATGCCTGTATTAAAAAACAAGATCTCAAATCAATAACCTAAGCCTGAAAAGGTAAAAGAGATCAAACTAACATCAAAGCAAGTAGAAGGAAATGGTAAAGATTACATAGTAAATAAATGAAATCAAGAATTAAAAAACAACAGAAAAACCAATGAAACCAAAAGTCGGTTCTTTGAGAAGAACCATAAAACACCCAGTGCTTTTTAGTGAAGAATCACTCAACTCTACTCCCGTCTTTGTTAAATTGACAAATCTTTTTTTTTTTTTTTTTTAAACGTTTATCTATTTTTGGGACAGAGAGAGACAGAGCATGAACGGGCGAGGGGCAGAGAGAGAGGGAGACACAGAATCGGAAACAGGCTCCAGGCTCCGAGCCATCAGCCCAGAGCCCGACGTGGGGCTCGAACTCACGGACCGCGAGATCGCGACCTAGCTGAAGTCGGACGCTTAACCGACTGCGCCACCCAGGCGCCCCTAAATTGACAAATCTTTAACTAGACTGACCAAGAAAAGAGAGGGAAAACCCAAACTACTATGAAAGAGGGAACATTGCTACTGAGCTCGCAGAAATACAAATGACTATTAGGGAATACGGTGCACAGCTGTGTAACAGTAAAATAGATAACCAAGAAGAAATGGACAAATTCCTACAAAGACACAAACACTGCAAACAGACTCAAGAAGAAACAAAATCTGAATAAACCTGTATGTAACAAGTGAAAGGATGGAAGTAGTTATCAAAACCTTCCCACAAAGAAGTACTCAGGACTAGATGGCTTTACTGCTGACTTCTACCTAACATTTAAAAAACAATTAAATTGTTGGGGCGCCTGGGTGGCTCATCTGCCTTCGGCTCAGCTCATGATCTCATGGTTCGTGGATTGAAGCCCTGCATCGGCCTCTGTTCTCACAGCTCGGAGCCTGGAGCCGGGAGCCTGCTTCGCATTCTATGTCTCCTTCTCTCTCTGCCCCTCCCCCTGTTCATGCTCTGTCTCCCGCTCATGCTCTCTCTCTCCCTCTCCCTCAAAATAAATACACATATAAAAAAGTTTAAAAACCAAATTGTTAAAATGCTGACACTACCCAAAGCAGTCTACATATTCAATGCGATCCCTATCAAAATAACACCAGCATTCTTCACAGAGCTAGAACAAACAATTCTAAAATGGTATGGAACCAGAATAAGACCCCAAATAGCCAAAGTAATGTTCAAAAAGAAAACAAAAGCTGGAGGTATCACAATTCTGGACTTCAAGCTGTATTACAAAGCTATAATTACCAAGACAGTATGGTACTGGCACCAAAACAGACACATAGATCAATGGAACAGAGTAGAGAACCCAGAAATGGACCCACAAACGTATGGCCAACTAATCTTTGACAAAGCAGGAAAGAATATCCAATGGAATAAAGACAGTCTCTTCAGCAAGTGGTGCTGGGAAAACTGGACAGCGACATGCACAAGAATGAACCTGGACCACTTTCTTACACCAGACACAAAAATAAATTCAAAATAGATGAAAGAACTCCATGTAAGATGGGAAGCCATCAAAATCCTGTAGGAGAAAGCAGCCAAAAACCTCTTTGACCTCAGCAGCAGCAACTTCTTACTCAACACGTTTCTGGAAGCAAGGGAAACAAAAGCAAAAATGAACCACTACAAACTCATCAAGAAAACAGCTTCTACACAGCAAAGGAAACAATCAACAAAACAAAAAGGCAACTGATGGAAAAGGAGACAATATCTGCAAATGACATATCAGATAAAGGGTTAGTATCCAAAAATCCATAAAGAACTTATCAAACTCAACACCCAAAAAACAAATAATCCAATGAAGAAACGGGCAAAAGACATGAACACTTTTCCAAAGAAGACATCCAGATAGCTACCAGATACATGAAACGATGCTCAACATCACTCATCATCAGGGAAATACAAATCAAAACCACAATGAGATACCACCTCACACCTGCCAGGATGGCTAACGTTAACAACTCAGGCAATGACATGTGTTGGCAAGGATGCAGACAAAGGGCAACACTTTTGCACTGCTGGTGGGAATGCAAACTGGTGTAGCCATTCTGACAGTAGGGAGGTTCCTCAAAAAATTAAAAATAGAACTACCCTAAGACCCAGCAATTTCACTACTAGGTATTTATCCAAAGAATACAAAAATGCTAATTCGAAGGGGCACATGCACCCCAATGTTTATAGCAGCACTATCAACCAAAGCCAAGTTATGGAAAGAGCCCAAATGTCCATTGATTGATGAATAGATACAGAAGATGTGATATATACACACAATGGAATATCGGTGATCAAAAAGAATGAAATCTTGCCATTTGCAACAACATGGATGGAACTAGAGTGTATTATCCTGAGCGAAAGAGGCAAAGAAAGATAAATATATGACTTCACTCATGTGGAATTTAAGAAACAAAATGGGAAGAAAAGGAAAAATAAAAAGAGGAAGTGAGGCAAACCTTAAGAGTGTGGAGATGGGCTAAATGGGTGATGGGCATTAAGGAGAGCATTTGCTGGGATGAGCACTGGATGTTATATGTAAGTGAAGAATCACTAAATTATACTCCTGAAATCATTATTACACTATATGTTAGCTAACTTGGATTTAAATAAAATTTAAAAAAATTAACACCTTAATATATATGGTCAATTAACTTTTTTTTAAAGTTTATTTATTTTGAGAGTGAGCAAACAGGGGAGAAGCAGAGAGAGAGGGAGAAAGAATCCCAAAGAGGCTCTGTGCTGTCAGCAGAGTCCAACGTAGGGCTTGATCTCATGAACCGTGAGATCATGACCTGAGCCAAAACCAAGAATCGAATGCTTAACCGACTGAGCCACTCAGGCACCCCTGGTCAATTGACTTTGACTAAGATGCCAAGACAATTCAATGAGGAAAGAAGCCATTTCAACTAATGGGACAACTGGATAGCCATATATGAGAGAACGATGTTGGGCTCCTATCTCACACAAAATAATGCACAAAAGTTAACTCCAAATGGATCAAAGACTGAAACGTAACTGTTTAAAGTTAAAAGCGGATTCTGTTCGGTTTTTTTTTCCTAAGTTTGGACACCAAACACATGAGCAATGACAAAAATTCACAAACTGCTTTCAAATGGACTTTACCAAAATTAAAAACTTTGTGTATCAAAGAGCACTATCAAGGAAAATGAAAAGACAACCCCCAGACGAGGTAAAATATTCGCAAATCATGTATCTGATGAGGGCCCAATATCTAGAATACATAAAGAATCCTTATAATTCAACAGTAAAAAGACAACCCAATTAGAAAATGGGCTAAGATTTGAATAGACATTCTCTGAAGTAGATCTACAAATGGCCAGCAGGCACAGGATAAGATGCTCAATACCAGTCATCAGAGAAATGCAACTCATAACCACAATGAGCTACCACTGCACACCCAGGAGGATGGGGAGAATCAAAGAAAGAGACCACAGGTGGGGGGAGGTGTGGGGAAACTGGAACCCTCACACATTGCCAGCGGGAACGTGAAATGGTACAGCCACATTGGAAAGCAATTTGGTAATTCCTCGAAAGTTAAACACAGAGTTACCATATGTTCCTATAATTTCATTCCAAGGCATGTGCCTGAGAATTAAAAACACGTCTACGTGAAATCTTGTGTGTGTTTATAGAAGCATATTCCTAACAGCTGAACAGTAGAAACAACTCAAATGTCCGCCAGTTGATGAATGGGCAAATAAAAGGCAGTTTATCCACACAATAGTGTATTATGGCAATAAAAAGAAATGAAGTGCTGAGATGTGCTACAACCTGTACATAAAGCTTGAAAACATTATGTTAAGTGAAAGAAGCTGGTTACAAGGACCACATAGTATATGACTCTACTTAAAAGAAATATCCACAAGCGGTGAATCCACAGAAACAGCAAGTACACTGGTGGTTGCCTACAGCTGGGAAAGTTGGGGGAAACGGGAGAGTGACTGTATTGGATATGTGGTTTCTTTCTGGAGTGATGAAAACAATCTGGAATTAGTGATGACGGTTGCACCACTTCACGAATACAATGAAGGCCAGTGAATTGCATTCTTTACTCAATTACTACAAGAACAAAAAAGAAAAAACCAAAACACCCAAAAGACTAGAAAAAAAACTGGTCATTATCCTTCATTTCTTTTTCACTCGTTTGTCAAACAGATACTTGTAGGGGTGACTAGGTAGGAGAGGACTGACCAGATCCCAGGATTAAGTCTTCACCCAAGCTTGGAGGAAGAGAGACCCCAAGGGGAAAACTGATGGTAACCACAGAGAGGAAAATGGAGGAGATCAATGAGCTTCTGCAACAGAGTCTGAAGACTGCTTTGGATCCAAGAATCCCCTTCTATTGGTTACCCTAAAATATAATACCTTTGGTCTTCTTCTTCAAGTTGTTAAGTTTATTCTCCAAACCTTCCACAACCGACACAGAATGGCTTCTAGGCAACCCCCGCTTTGCCAATCTCTTTGAAGGAGAAATCATTTCATGGTTGAAGAGATTTCTTCGAACTTTGGTCACTTCTGAAAGCATTAAAAAAAACAAAAGCACCAAATATTATCACTAATAAATGCCATATCTGGGAAAAGACATCCAAAACAGAAAGCGGCTGATTAAGCTTAAGGAACTATTCTACAGACTGGCTTCTATATTCACATTTACTAACAGGATTTTATTAAATATTATACTCATAGGGTACATAAAGACTATTTACTTTTACAAATTCAATTTAAATCTAACTTTTCAGGAACACAAGGAAGGCCCACATCACTTAAATCAGAGTCTGTCGTCATTGTAAAATGGACACAATCCTCAGGAGGCTGGTAGTGTAGATCAGGGTCTGTTTTAATGTATGCCAGAATTGTGAGGATTTTCCTCACTTTGGGCCTTTTTACTGCTTTGTCCTCGGCTCCAAGGAGAAAAAGTGTTCTTCTCAAATCCACAGATTTCACTCTGTGGATTTGAGTATTTCACAAATTTGCTGCATTATTTTAAATTCTCTTCCTGACTTCAGAACATGGGAGTGTGTGACCATTTATAGACTTAAAGTTGAGGAAAGTAGCTGAAGAATCAATCAAAAACTACCTGACAAAGCCAGCAGGATGGCATCTTCATCCGAAGCAAGATGGCCTATAGGGAAGCCGACTCACTCACTCACCACGGTAACTCTTCTGAGAGCAAGTCATTTAAATACAACCCCAATAAACCATGACCCACAAGTTGGGAGGAGCCCTTATATCTACCGATCAATGACGGACATTAAAGTTAAGGACACCAGTGCTACCCAAGTTTCAAAAACAAACGCCTGAAACTCATTTATGATCTGACAGCCAAGCTGGATTTGTTGGTTTGTTTTCCCAAGTTTATAAAAGTTTAACATTGACAGAAAATGCCAATGACTAATTCATTACACGTAGAGTCATCATTAAAATTCACCAACTGTCAAGTTTTGTTTTCTCCCTCCATCACTCTCTACATTTACACAGTTTCCCACCAGGAACACAGCACAGTAAGGTAGGAACACCACAAAAAATAAGGGCCTATCACCCAGCATACTACCAATCTTCACATTTCTCTTACTGTCTCAATATCCCTTATGGCTTCTTGCCTCCCTGAACTTAAGATCCAGGCAGGGATCATATAGTGCATTCAACTGTCACACTTAAAGTGCTTTCATCTAGACCAGTTTCACTGCCTCTTTTCCTTTCTGTGGCTTTCATAATAATGGTGTTAAAGAAAAAAAAAAAAAAGATTTCAGGCCAGGGACACCTGGAAGGCTCAGTCAGTAGAGCATGCAACTCTTGATCTCAGGATCATGAGTTCACCCCCCCATGTTGGGTGTAAAGCTTAATTAAAAAAATAAAATAAAGATTTCTGGCCCGTGATTTTGCAGAATGCAGTTATTTTGAGACTGTGTGAATATCTTATTCTAAGATATTCTTAGGACATATTTGGACTTAGGACATATGATACCTGGACGTATCTCATTAACCAACGATCATATAAAATTATAATTTAGAACTGTATGCAGCTGTTTAAATACATGCAATTAAACTAAGTTTGTCATCCTAGTCAGTATATGCGTACACCGAGAAGAGAAAGTATACCTTGCACTGTATCTTTTGCCAGGACTGGAGGCTGCTGAAGAGTAAGGTGAGAGCCTTCCTGAAAGAGTAAATCGGCACTCATTAAAAAGAATAAAAATTCCACATGAAATCCTCTGACCCTCGCAGTTTCACTTGCCGGAACCCCTAACAGAAATACTTGTAAAATGCACAAAAACAGATATATGTTCCAAGGACACTGAAGCCTGCATTGTAGTGCAAAATAAGAAACACCCCAGGGGCGCCTGGGTAGCTCAGTCGGTTGAGTGTCCAACTTCAGCTCAGGTCATGACCTCGCGGTCTGTGAGTTCGAGCCCCATGTTGGGCTCTGTGCTGACAGCCCAGAGCCTGGAGCCTGTTTCAGATTCTGTGTCTCCTTCTCTCTCTGACCCTCCCCCTTCATGCTCTCTCTCTGTCTCAAAAATAAACGTTAAAAAAAAATTTAAAAAAAAACACAAACACCCTAAATATCCATAAAGAATGAAAAACATTTTGATACATCCATCCAACAGACACTAAAAGATTAGTAAGACCTTTAAAAATAGAGAAGGAGGGGCGCCTGGGTGGCGCAGTCGGTTAAGCGTCCGACTTCAGCCAGGTCATGATCTCGCGGTCTGTGGGTTCGAGCCCCGCGTCGGGCTCTGGGCTGATGGCTCAGAGCCTGGAGCCTGTTTCCGATTCTGTGTCTCCCTCTCTCTCTGCCCCTTCCCCATTCATGCTCTGTCTCTCTCTGTCCCAAAAATAAAAATAAACATTGAAAAAAAAAAATAGAGAACGAAGGAAGACTTATCTGTACATACACAGAAAGAGCTACATGATGGGAGAAAGTGGTGGGGGTGGGAAGGAGAAGTATAGTAGCTTAGTAACGATTTGTAACATTTATGCATAGGCGTGTGTCCAGGTATGTGGAAACCTTTGATGTGTGCTATTGGTGTATACAGAAAGGGGCCTGGGAAGAGGAGGGACACTCTTAACTTTTAACTTATTAAGGTTTCAGTTTTTTAACGATGATCATGTATACCTTCTATACTAAAAAAAGTAAAGGAAAACCTGTATAAATTAGAAGATGACTATACTCTTTAAAAAAAAAAAAATGTGGGGTGCCTGGGTGGCTTGGTCAGTTAAGCGTCCGACTTCAGCTCAGGTCATGATCTCACAGTCTGTGAGTTCAAGCCCCACGTCGGGCTCTGTGCTGACAGCTCAGAGCCTGGAGCCTGTTTCAAATTCTGTGTCTCCCTCTCTCTCTGCTCCTCCCCTGTTCATGCTCTCTGTCTCAAAAATAAATAAACGTCAAAAAAAAAATTTTTTTAAATAAAAAAATTTAAAAAAAGTTTATTTTTGAGAGAGCACATGAGTGGGGGAGGGGCAGAGAGAAAGGTAGACAGAGGATCTGAAGCAGGCTCTGTGCTGACAGCACAGAGCCCAAAGTGGGGCTTGAGCTCATGAACTGTGAGATCATGACCTGAGCTGAAGTCAGATGTTTAACCAAGTGAGCCACCCAGGTGCCCCCCACTTTTTTTAAATTTTACAGTGACACTGTGAGTATGGGAGAGAGAGACAGAGAGAGGGAGAGACAGACAGACAGAGAGAGAGAGAGAGAGAGAGAGAGAGAGAGAGAGAATCTTAAGCAGGCTCCACGCAGAGCCCAGTGCAGGGCTCAACTCCACAACCCTGGGATCATGACCTGAACCGAATTCAAAAGTCAGATGCTTAACCCACTGAGCCACCCAAGCACCCCGAGGATGACTATAATCTTAAGGAGTCTCTATATTAAATTATTTGCTATACAATAATCTAAAAATATAGATACAGCTATACAATGGAATTGTTTTTAAAGCTTGGGGTTGTTTCTTTCCCATTATGCCAATGTGTTACTTGAAGAAATGAACTACCACATGGAGGCTGACTTAAGGAGTGCTAGAAAGGACTGTGAATCATTGTAACATCTAGAGACAGGAAGCCTGCCACTTCTGCTGCTGTCACTTTTGGATTTTCCTGCTCTCCACTCAGGATTCCAACACATACAATTAGTGCCTGATTCATGGACACTTATGAAGGCACACTAAGGAAGTCAATATCACTAGCTCTTAAAATACAATCCCACCTCCAATCCCAAAGGACAGCTATACATATCTAGAAACAAAGCAAACCGTTATGATTAATGCTTCTAAAACTAGTTCTTATAGAATTTTAACTCTTCTCAGAGTGCCTGCAGTTCCAAAAAGTTTCAAGGTACTCTCTTCTTTCCTTAATAAAACATCAGTTCTACTTAATATTAACAGACTGCAGCTGGGTTCAAGTCCTCCCATCTACTGTCACAGAAAAGCAGATCACCTGGGTCCCGACAGCACTCCTCCTC